GAAGAACTGAAGAAGTTTATCAACGTGTTGCACAGAATAATTTTCGTAGGTGCGTTTTTATAAAACAGCACGCTTACATTTACTACCCGTGACTAAAGTACTGGAAGTGTCAGGACTTGGCTTGCAACCGTGAATAACGAGGTGACATTTTCCGCATGCTGAGCATTGGATAATTGGTATTTTAAAAGTGGTACCATTAATTAGCAATGAGGTTTTACTGGACAAAAAAAAACGTTAGCTTGCTTTTAATAATAAATTGCGTATTTATTCCGTATTTACAAACTAACCAACATTTAGTTGCAACAATCCTAAATAGTACAAAATTGGATTTTAATTTGCCAGGCAAGTCCAATTAGGTCCGATTTAAGATTCTCAATAAAGGTGGCCATATATTTGCGTGCTGTTTTCTAGATTACCATTTGCCCCTCCAACCGCCTTCTCCTCCCCAACCTCCGCGGCCTTCCAATCCACCGTTTCGGCCCCAGCTTCCACCGTCGCCTCTCCATCCTCCTCTGTTGCCTTCCCATCCTCCGCGACCGCCCCATCCTCCTTCACCGCCCCAACCGCCTCCGCGTCCTCCCCAGCCGCCGTCATCACCACGTCCTGCCCAGCCACCCTTCCACGGTTCGGGCATCGCCATGACGGAGCAAACGGCCACAATGGCGAACAAAGCGATGACCATTAATTTCATCTTGGTGATAGTACGTACTTGTTTCTACCTGCACGAAGACTTTGTGACTTCTGATTTCGTATTGTGTGGTATCGGAATATATAGTCAAATGGAACGGTAAAAACAATGCAAAAGTCAACTTTTACCTTATCGATAAAAAATTGCAAGTATATCGATTATTCAAACCATCATTAGCATAGTGTTTATTGTTTTATATAATGAGACAAACAAACTATATAAAAAAATGAAAGTTTACAAGCTTAGATGACCAACCTAAGTTGACCAAGCAGCTGATATATGGATGCCGGAAGCTTTTGACAACTGATTTGACATTTTTTTTGAGAATTTTAAATGCTACATCATAATTTCCGGTTGTTAATGGCAAATCATTCAGAAGATTAAACCCTTCATTTGATAACTGTTGATTATTAGCAATAAGTCATGTAAATAAATCAACGACTGCTGTCCACTCTTCGTCCTTTTCCGAAAAAGATGAGGTATGTAACTTCTCTGTTTCGTTTGATTTCCTACTATCGTTTTTTGTTTTGATAAAATTTTAATTAAAGTATTTACTAGATCAGTTTCCTCTTACTCATCGAAATCATCTCGTCTCTCGTCTTGTCTCTGTTCGGGTAATGGAACTTTTTGCTTTAGAACGATTTTTTGAAAATGTTCCATATTTAGTTTAATATTCTAAGCTAAAAGTAAATTCGACTGACGAGTTAAGTGACAATATTGATACAACGCAACACCGCGTATTTTGAGAAAACATTTTAAATTTGATCGTTGCCTAAAGAAAAGCATTATTTTCGTAAAAACAATACATGCAAAAAAGTTTAAAAAGTTATACCCAACAATGATGGTTTAAACATAACCCGAATCCTGAAGATGATCGCTACTATGTTCGAAACGGTGCATCACGGGCTCACACTCATATATATCGTTGAATTTGTCTTTCAAAGGAATATCCAAAAATGCAATAAAATGTAGGATATTTTATTTAAAAGAAAGAGTAACTTTGTTTCGCCACCCTGTATAAAAAAGTGACGATTAGGAAAATAAAAAAAAAATCAAGAAAAACACACCCCTAACGTGTGAATATTTTAATACAACACACTCGTTGCCTGTAAAAGATTGCCGCAATTTGTGAATTCCAAAATAAAATCTATTCTCTGTTAGTATAACTTAAAATTTCTTTCAACGTTACTGAAAACAAGTAACACAGTAAAATAAAATCGTAAAAAACAAAAATTTGTATTGAAGTAAAAATGTACGACTTGTTTGCTTTCTTTCTGATGATGATGCGTAGAAAAACAGCAATGTTGCAATGACACGAGCTCTAGCGGCACGATTTTAGCTACTACTTTATTTTTGCCATACGCAACAATTATATTGAGGTTCACAATGATGATAGAGATGAAAACATTGAATATTGAAGCGAGAGATAATCAGATGCCATATACCTAACGTATGGCAATTTAGATACAACATTCTATCTACTAAAATCAAAATGTGTTTGTTTTGAGTTTTCTTAATACTTCTCAACACTTCCATTAAACAAATGGTTAAATATAATTTGACAGAGTAACTTTCTCTCAAATCTTTGCGTCGTTATTCTTAACAAATAAACTGAATTGAACTTCTTAACAATTGAAATATCAGTATCAGATTCAGAAGTTAACTTTATTGAAAACTCGACAACTAAAATCAATAACAACAATAAAAATGGAATAATGTACATGTTTGTTCACATAAGAAGTTTTTAATTTTTCTTCCATATCTATATATCGGTTCTGATTGATTGGGACCCTGCTTCCCCTGTAATCGTAGAATCAACCCCTATATATTCAAGGGTTGATTGAACCTCTTCTGTTTTCTTTCACCTCAAAAAACATCGCTTTTACATCTTTACTTGACTTTTGTGGGTCCTAGAATAGTATATGAATACTCAATATGTTTTTTCTGCCTTCCTGAGACTCTAAACGCTCTGCATCTTCAAAAATATTTTTCGACTCTCAAATTTTTCCTTTCTCTTTGATTAGCTACATTTTCTCGACTTAAATGAATGCCCGTATTTTCGAAACTCTTCTTAATGAATAAAATATTTGTACTTTAAAGGGACTTTCTTCTGATTATTTAATTATTGTTATACGGGATTATTTAAAATTGATTATTAAAGCGTAACAAATAAAAATGATATATAGAGTTACTAAAACATCAAATGTTAATTAAATTTTGTTTAAGACATGAAGTTTTAAAAATAATTAACATAATTTTTAAAAATCAAGTTGACTTACTTAATTTTTGACTTAAAATTGCTCAATTACAGTTTCAAGACAGATATTAAGTTTATATATATTAAGATATTAACATTTGATGTTTTATTTACGACTATCAATAAAAAGCTATTTTGAATTTGCACAAACTTTCTTTCACCTTTTTTTATATCGAGGAATAAATACGAAGAACGTCAATGAGCAATAGTGACTAGACAATATATCCTTATTTTCTGCGCCTTTGGGATAGCAGAGCAAAACAAAAGCACTAAAATTGGCTATCAAGAGATGTCGCAATTAAAAGCAAAACGAAATTTGTAACGGATATAAATCGAGGTGGAAATTGTTTTTCATACTTATCAGGTAAATTTTCTGGGATTAGCATATAAACTAAAATCTGGTATATTCGATGGTTCTCAAAATTGAGAACTTGGTGTTTATTTGTTCAAGTAGCACAAAATTTTCTTGATTATCATTAAACAGTGAGTTATGAAGAAATGAATGAAAACTGCTTCTGCAGTCTCATTGATTGCGTTTCAGGAAACTTAGGTAATTATAGTGAAAAATAACTCCAGAGATTCTATTAGAACCTTAAAACTATGGATGTTCGTTGTCTAGAACGATGGGATAGTCCCATGATTGCCGACTGCTGGAGCCCTCTACGAAACTACCCTAATAAACTTAACGCTACTCAAATTCATGGATTTCTGTTTTTTTAAAGACTGGCAATAGTAACAAAACAGTAATTACATAAAAGAACGTTAAAAATATGAAACGACGAATATATCTGATAAAATAATCCTGATAGACAAAATCTAAGGACTCTTTAAGATTTTGCAACCAAGAATTACTCGGGAACAGTCGAACATTAATTATTAATAAAGTACCCAACAACATTGTATTGAAACGCATTAACCATCACGTGGCATTTGTTATTTTTATCAATTATGAATATTAAAGGCTTAATAATAACCACAACCCGTCAAGAAAGCTCAGATAAATGTCTTTTGTTGCACCTGCAAAGTTTACTGGTTTAGGGTTCGGTTTTGGAGGAGTATTAAAGAAAGGAAAAACCTTTTATTTATGTTGATTCGTTTTGTACGTCCGCAGAACATGTTTAATTCATAAATTTTAACAATGTTATAATAAACTTATTAACTATGATGCAACAACAAAAGGATTTACGAACACCTGGCTCACCTCGTACCACCTGTGCTTTTCATGAAAGGTGGAAAAATTTTACTCCCCATGGAGGTTTTAAAATTTCTATTTCCTCAAAATTTTTATGCGAACTAAAAATAGGAGAATAGAAATGAAACAGGAAGAAACTGTTCTGTTCCCAAATTTCCCAACAGCATTTCCACCGTCTGTAATTTTGTCCCACCTCCCAAAACATTTTTTGATTTTGACGACAAAAATCGTATACGATTTTAGCTTTTCAAACTCGGCAGTCTTCTTTGATTATATATATTGTCCACTGACTTTTTATTTAAAATGGTTTTGCAAAGTTTTAAATACCCCCAAAAATAATAAAGCAGAATATTGACGCAATAAATAATACAAACATTAAATTTCATTATCTTAACTGTTGGAAGATAAATCCTAGGTTATCTGCTATCAACTCTATTGAAATGAATGGAAGAAGGGCTGAAGTCGAACGAAAAGACCTGATTAGCTCGAATATAACGGATATTAGTGGTCATACCCACAAATTGTTGAAGAAGGGGTTTTGTTAGACTGAAGGGCATGGGGTTGTATAATCACAGCTTTTACAATGTCATCCTCGTTTAGAGCATCCTCACTATCATACCAGTAGCAAAGTTCTTTGAGGTCCTGCATTATTATTGCCATTTTTGATTAGATATTAATTTAGTAGCAAAAATAGTGAATAAACTTTTGTCTAATTAGTCACAACTTTCCCTATTCCCTAAAATTTACCGTTGTGCAATGTGCAGTGTTATCGTGAAGTCCTATACAAGGTATAAGGTATAGCTCGTATATTGTTGGTTGCATATGCTACTTATCTTGTTGGAAAGTCTAAAGTCGACGATATTTTATTACCTCCAATCAACTAACAAAGCAAGCGACCGAGAAATGTTTTAAGAGAAACATTTCGCTAATAAATTATTTAAAATGAATACGGTTTGGTTAATAATATCCAGTGTTGTGGTATATTTATTTTATTTAAAGTTCATTAAACCGTCTTTTTACTGGAAGCAAAGAGGTGTGTTTCACGTAAACCCCTATTCGAGACTAATCCGGGTGTTCTTTTCCGATAAAACGTTCCTGGACATTATCAGGAATGCGTACGAAGAATTCCCTTGTAAAAGGTAAGTCAATCCTGTAAGTATTTTTACGAAACCTACTAAAGAAAAAACGATTCTGGTATTTGCGCAGTGATTTTACCGATTCTTGTTGTATGTACGTCCTTCGTTCGTTAACCTGGTTGCGGCCCGTTGTTTATTGGTTAGTCTAGGTCATTCATTAAAATACGGGTTATTACACCGTAGAACCACGCGCCTATTGGATACGGTGCTGACACATAACTTGGTACAAAGGTACAAAGGTGCTTATATTATATTATTAAGATACTCCTCCTATTATAGGTACTCAAATTAACTTGTTAAATTACTACCCAAGTACAGATCGATAGTCTAAGTAGGTTTTACATATTTGTTTCACTATAATAATTAAAAGTTTTTTATCATTTGACACTAGCATATGACATTAATTGTTATAGTCACGATGGTTAAATAAATTTATTAATTATACCTAATTTATATTAAGTCATTTTTGTATTGTATTGATATATTAAAAAAAATTAAGGGTGATCAAAAATTAGTTCTAAAAATATAGAGAAAAAAATCGTCAAAAGTCATTTTAGTTTCGCCCCAATTTTATGATTTTATCGTATTTAGCATTTAAAAGCGGGCGAACTTGGATGAGGTGGCCAATTTAAGGAAATTGTAGACCTGCTGTTGGACTCTATACTATGTGGAATTCCACTGTGGTATTCTGCTATGGCATCTACTATGGAGATGAAAATCTTTTTTTGACGCAATGCGAATGGTGCACGTGACGTCTATTGGCCTCCAAATTCGAAATTATATTTCGTTAAGATGCGACTATTTCAGTCGACAGAAAGAAGGGAAAATTGATAACTTAAAGACATTATTACTATTGTGTGATATTATTCACCCATACCAACTAAATGTACTAAAACTAACCTTAGTATTCTGTGAGTATCAGTTTATACTTGGTAGTTGATATATTTAATTTTCTTTAATTTTACACTCATTTTTTTAAGCTAACAATAACATTTTCATATTGTAAAACTGTTTATGGTTTTTATAGATTTTTTTATATAGGTACTGACCCTAAAAAAGTTAAATTTTTATTGTTATGAATTTCACGAATGCGTAATATCTTGGTTAAACATGTCAACCTCTGGTTCGGTAGTAACTTTTAAACTAGACCGCGCCGGAGTTATCGTGATAAATTTATTCTAATATGCTCTTGTTGATGATACATTACACAATAAAAGGCATTTATTATTATCGTTATGTAGGTAGTTAATTGTGGCAAGATGCTGCCAATTAACGCAGTTAATGTGTTGGTTGGCGAACAAGAGGAGATTTTGGAAAATATCGGTAATAAAAATATGGAGGAAAGAATGATGAGGGATAAGGAACTGAAATCCACTTTAAAACTGCACATAACTACTTAAAAACCCACTTTCTTCGATTGATACTAGGTTTTTCTTCCATTTTCAAACAGATTCCAGTCAAAATCGGCTCCTCCGACTCATGTCGTACCTAAAACCGCATCAAAACTGCAGATATGAGCTTAAACTATCATTTTTTGATCCAAACAGTTACATATTCATGTCAATATCTTGCAAATACTAGTCATCGGCGTCTTCGGGCATTATAGCAACGAAAACCTTAATAAACCAATAGATTTCGACATAAAACCCCCTTTCTGAGTCAAATAGTTACCGATTTCGATAAGTTCCCAGTCAGAATCTGCTTTTTCGCTTCTTATTGTACCCAAATCTACCGTTGAAAAGCAGATATGTACTTAAAACCCCTCTTTTTGAGACAAATAATTGGTTTTCGCTCTTGATTTCGAGTAGATTATAGTCAAAACCTGCATTTTCATAACTTAGCATAGTGAAATATACCTTAAAACTTCTTCAAACGATACTAGATTTAAGCATTTATTTCGAATTAACAAGGACCATTAAGAATGTAATGAGTCATTACGTTCTTAATGGTATTCTTCCCGACTTGGAACTAATAATTCTATTGCAATACCAGGAGTAATAATATATTTCAATCCCTCAAAACATAGACGAGTATATCTCAGGTATGACATTCGATACTTCAGTTTTTGACATATCGAATTTGGTCGATTGTGAATGCGACAGTGGTATTCAATGTTCACCGCTGAGATAATTTTTTTGTATTTAAATAACAATAACAATAAAAACGGTGACATGAAACTGAAGTTTCTGTACTGCTTGACTGCTTTTTATCAACATGTTTTGCTGTTATAGTATTTTTGCAATGGAAAAAATCTACAAGTTTTATAAATAATTAGCCTTGTTTAAAATTTTTAGTTAATTTTTGATCACCTTTATTTATTATTTAAATACAAAATACAATAATAAATCTGAATATAAAATACAATAAAGGAGATCCTTTTCTATGCGAAAATCAACCAAGAAGTCAATTTTTATGTCACTTTTGACATATAATTCAAAATATGTCTGAAAAAGAAAGACCAGATAAGTTAATGTTAGTTGTCCACAAAAATACAACTTCCTGTGTGTAACAAGCTAGTAACCTATAAGTCTGAGTGAACAACTTTTGTTTCACATTTTTTACAGGTTCTGAGAGTTCGATGAAATTAATTATTTATTTATTATTGAACATTTTAAACAATTTCATGTTGCAAAAACCAAAATGATTTGATAAGACCGAAATCTAGGAAACAATTCAACTTCGTTGAAAATTCCTTAAGTTCTTTCCTTAAAAACAGCCGAATTTACAAAATTTTAAATAATTTTGTTCAAAATATTATGCTATTATGTTATGCTTTCACGTATTTTTTTATATTTTTAGTTGTAATTTCAAAATACCCTTTTCCAATCTATGTTACATATGAGGTATAATTGCAATAAAAAGTAAATAGAGTAAATTAAAGGTTTTTTGTTTTTTTAATTAATAACTTCAAGATATACTTTTCCAATGTTTGTTACATATGAGGGTCATTCAATAAGTACAAAAAATGTTGTAGGGCAGTTTTTTTTATTTTTAAAAGGTTTCCAATTTCAATTTACAAAAAACAGACATTTGTTTGGGCGACCACCTCCTCGTTAGACGTAAACTCTTCTTCTTTCAATTTCTCCAAGTCTGGAACAAGTGATTGTCACTGACGACCAATGCCGTAACAATTCCGATAATGTCGTATCAATGTCGAGTAATCAATGTAGATAATTTGGCGGGTATCCCAAAAGATCGTGGCCATAACATAACGCTCGCACAAAGCCACGGTTTTGACAATTTTTCCTTGGATCTGCAGTGTAGTAATGTCTCCATATTTCATTACCCGTTATGAACAGACTCAGAGTCGATTACACCATTGCGTTTCACCCAATTGTAATCAGTTGCAAACTCAGTACCAGGATCTTCGTCCAAGCTTTAATTTCTTTCCAGTATCAAGAGAACACTAATGTTTAATCACTGCTCGAATTTCCGTTTTTTTATAGACAAATTAGAGAAAACTATATAATGCGTACAGCTTGAACTTTGGCAGTTGACAAGCTAGACACCTTAGAATTAGTTACTTGAAAGTTTCTTTCAAAAATTAAAAAAAGATATTTTCAATACTATAATCGTCATCTCTTGGATTTCCTAACCGACCCCCGTAAATTTCCGCCTAGGTGTTCACCCAAATATCTCGAAGTATTGTTTTGTAGCCATAAATGCTTTACGAACGACTCTTTTAGGTATTATGGGAGTTTCCAGTTTTTGCGTCCATCGCTGTTGGTTAGAGACCTGGAATTGGCGAAGAAGATAACCATAAAAGACTTTGACCACTTCCACGATCATTTCACGTTGGCCAACGATAACGATCTCGTTCTTAGCTCCAACTTATTCGCCCTCAAGGGTACTACTTTATTCACTCAATTGAACAATAATCTTGACTACGTTAATTTCAGGGGAAAAATGGCGAGATATGAGGTCGACTCTAAGTCCCGCATTTTCCAGCAGTAAAATGAAGCAAATGTTCGTTTTGATGACGGAAACGGCGGAAAGTTTCACGGACTATTTGGTCGCCAGTAGTGAAAACAAACCGCGCGAGTACGAAACAAAAGACCTCTTTACCAAGTACACTAACGACGTGATCGCCAGCTGTGCTTTCGGAATAAAATGCGATTCGCTAAGAGAGGACAAGAACGAATTTTATAAAATGGGACAGAACATCTCCAATACCTTCAAAAGGATCCTGTCCCTGAAAGGATTGCTGAATGTTTTCTTCCCCAAACTCTGCCAGGTAGAAAACTTTTATTTAAAAGTGCTTACTTTTCTAAATCTGCTTTTAAATGGCCATTATAGGATAGAACTACCAGCTATACCCTCACTTTATACATTTTAGTCGAGGGTTTGGTAGATTTTACATAAAGTTCACGTTCAAGTGAGACTTTGCTGAGTGAATTCATGGAGTTTTGCAAACAGGTATCCAACATCTAATGATCGTAGAAAAAGTATAGTACGCAACAAGTTCAGTGTTGTTAAAGTAATCGATTTGGTTTGGTATAGTTTGTTCTCGTTGATAGAGCTTCGGCTTATTGTTAGGTACTTGGCCTCCAGATTTAAATACGTTTTTAGATGAGACAAAAACTTGCTTATTTGTAGTAACTTGCAACTTCGCGTGGTTGAAACATATTAATTTCCTAATTCTAAAATTTTGAGAGTACAGACTATAGTTCAGAAGATAATTTGTGGGACGAATAAGTTGTACCTAATTGTTAACTAAAATTTTTGATTTTATTAGAGTTCTGAAGATATTTTATGAAATTTTCTTTTCAAAGAAAGTTCCACAAGTTAATACTATTCTCAAAACTTCTGGATTACCTTTGCGTCGCATATTGATATTTTTTTACCGGTTTTGTCATTGATTTAAAATCTTATAATAATCTTCGATATTCTTATTAACATAAAATCAGAACTAACATTTGTTCATTTAGTTTACAGAAAACCTATGCACACAAACCGATCCTTAAACAATTGACACATTATCATCCTGCCCAAGAATCATCGGTTATCAATTTTTTTGTTTACAAAGCCCTAAAATTATCTCAACCCGAGTGACAGAATTAAAAAAACTAATATCTGCTCTTATCTTTAATAATTTTCACAGTGTAGATATTAAGTGTTCTATCACAAGAGTCGATAAATGAACTCGCACGCACACGTAACCTGAAACCTAAAAATCGCACATAGGGGGCCTCCGTCTTAACCGCGACCCCCTTGACACTGGTGACGTTGGTGTCCATTTTTTAGCTGCGTCTTCCTCAAACAGTATATAACGCGGTACAAAGAAGAATGAAAACTAGTTACAATTAGGCTCTGAAGAAGCCAACAGTATGATTGCCGAAAGGTCAGCCAGTCCAATTTATCAACAACGGAGGCAGGAGGAATGCAGAAGATTTGTAAATTAATTTTGTGTAAAATGAAAATTTAGATTTTTAAGATTTATAGCTGTTCGGGTGATCATCAGCTATTAAAAGAACTTAGTCAGATTTGGTCTTACTGATGTAAATGAATTGTCCTTTATTTTACTTGCTTGATGCTTCTGAAAACTTTTATTTTTTTCCCAAAATCTAAGGGATGTTCATTTTTAAATGGCGTGCCCATAAAGAAAAACGCATGATATAGAGACCATTGTCAACTGCTGTTTCAGAATCTTGGCGTTATGCCACTGCCAACGGTATACGTGTATCACACGGTATTACAAATTGTTTACTCAACAAATTTACTTTCAGTTCACTCATATAATCATAAATACCCCACTTCTTTCTCAAATTTGCTTGGAACTAGGACGTTTAAATACACTAAAAATTCTCTAGATCTAAGTTTATACAATCTAATTCCAAATTAAGGCACAAACTTGCTACTTAAAAATTTTAAAACTGAAATAAAAATTTTTTTTGAGCATTGTTTTTACTCTGTAGACGAATACAAACAGAAAATAAGCGATATTACCTGATTACCTGATTCTTGATGGTGGCCACTGTTTGGTTGTGTTCGGTATTGTCTTTTTTTTATTTTTCTTCTTATGGCGCCGTCTCCTTTCGAAGGTTGCCGATCCAAATAGCTAACGTGGTTCTAAATACGGCCATACGGAAGATCTCGAGCGATGAGCAACCAAACCATCGTCGAATCTCCTTCAACCAAGAGTTTTGGCGCCTACCGACCGACGTTTTGCCTTGGACTTTGCCTTCTATGATTAGGCGCAGAAGTTCATACTTTTCACCTCGCATTATGTGCCCAATATAATGAGTTTTTCTTTCTTTGACGGTAAGCATAAGTTCTTTTTGTTTTCTCATGCGATTAAGAACTTCTACGTTTGTTACTCTTTGGACCCATGATATTCTTAGTATACGATGGTAAATGTACATTTCAAATGCATCTATTTTCTCTTCTAGTGATGGGTTTAGGGTCCAACTCTCACATCCGTACAGAAAAACCGAGAAAACATAGCATCTGACCATGCGTACCCTGAGCCCCACGCTCAAATCTGATCTCACGAAAAGTCGTTTCATATTCAAGAATGTTTTTCTGGCCTGTTCTATGCGGCATCTGACTTCTTTCCTTGGATCACATTGATGATTTATGATGCTCCCCAAATATTTGTATGAAGACACTTGTTCCACCGCAGCACCATCAACATTCAGACGAACCTGAACAGGTGTCTTGGTAAATGCAATGACCTTAGTTTTTGTAGTGTTTATGAGGAGGTCAGCGTTTTCGCTATATCGCACTATGTGACCCATTAGCCTCTGCAGATCCTGCGCATTCTCGGCTAGCACAACGGTGTCGTCGGCATATCTAATGTTGTTGATTATTTTCCCCTTGACCTTAATGCCTTACACCTCTTATAATCATGATTGCCTCTGATGTTGTTTCTTCAATTTTCACTACTGCGTTTTGCTTCCAGTAGAGATTTATAATTAATCGGATTTCTTCTCTACCTATTCCAGTTTTTTTGAGTACTTCTATGAGCTTTTGGTGTTTAACGCAGTCGAAAGCTTTTTTATAATCTATGAAACAAGCGACTACATTGACATTCATGTCCCTGCATGGCTGAGTTAGAACGTTCAGCGCGAATAGCGCTTCACGAGTACCTAAGCCACTGCGGAATCCAAATTGAGTTTCATTTAGTTAGTATTCGCCTTTCTTGTAAATTCTGGTGTGAATTATTCGGAGGAATATTTTGAGAACATGTGACATCAGGCTTATCATGCGGTATTCATCAAAATTCGAAGCATGGGTTTTCTTGGGCAGGGTAATAAATGTTGAGCGCAACCAGTCTGTTGGGACAGTCCCTGTACGGTAGATTGTGTTAAATATTGAGGTTAGCAGTTGCAGTCCCTTTCCCTCTTGTTCGGCTATGAGTTTTATAAGTTCGGCATGAATATTGTCTGGGCCGGTTGCTTTTCCGTCTCTCTGGGTTTTTATTGCGTTTATTACTTCGCCTTTGGTGATATCAGGGCCACTTTCGTTTATATTTTCATCCGCTTCTGGTGCTACGTTTGGTCTACTATCATTGAATAGTTCTTCTACGTACTCCTTCCATCTTTGGAGTTTATTATCTATACCTAAGATGATATCGTTATTTTTGTTACGTAAGGTGGTTGTTGGACGTTTCTTGTAGCAGTTTGCAATCTCTTTAACTTTTTTAATCCTATTTTAACTATTTTTAATCCTGTTTGTTTTTATATGTTATGTATTACGTTGTTAAACCTATTATTATTGTAGATGTAGATAAAAATACATACACAAATAAAAAAACTATCTATCTTCCAGGTATCTTCCATCGCCAAAACAATTTAACAAAGCTACTATAATATTTTTCCACGTCAGTAATTCCATTCCAATAGTCCTCAATAAATAATATTTTAATACCTCGTCATTTTCTTGACCACAGGTTGTAAAAATAAAATCTCCAGCTGATAGATGGTAAAACAATAAACATTTTTAGTAAAGTTAAATTCATACCTTGTGCAATTGGCGATTGATTAGAGTTTAAATAAATTTGGCTATTTTATACTAAATTTAAAGAAAATTAATGTTTAATTGTTTAAAATGTTCTTAAATTTGAACTTTAAATTTAGATTCCTAAAATTATTTCCAACCTGATGAAGAGGGGGGATGAGAGTAAAACAATATGATTGTTTGGACACTAACATATTCTTCCTATTGGATTATCGATAGGGGAAAGTAGCACATGGACACTAATCTGTCCTTCCTGTTGGATTATTCTTGGATTGTCTCCTTTAACCCTCAGTCGCACTTGTTTTGGTTGAAACCCATGTTTTATGATCAAATCGGCCGAATGACGCGGTTTTGACAGAGAACTGCCCCACATCCTACCGACTGCGCTAGTCGAGATTTTCAAACCACGGATCTCGGTTTTTAAACACTCTTTTATTTGATTTATACTATGCTCAAGCGTTTGATTAAAAAAATCCAAATGATTATAAAGCAAGTTATGCATGTATTTAGAATATTCCTATGGGAAAAGAAAAGAAAAGTTGATCAACTACTACAGGCACTCGTTTATTAAACAGTCGCTTCACTCGCGACCAAATAAACTCGTAACTAAAATGGCGTTTATCAAAGTTGTTGCTTAATATAATACATCTTATTTTCTACTCTATAAAACCCCGTTATGCATTTTAATTATCACTTAACACCTCAGCATCAAAATTTGTCGTTTGATATTGAAAGCATTGATGAGATTGTGAAGTTCGTCAGTTCTGATGGTTCTGTATGTGTTGCATTCAGCACGTCACACAAAATTCTTTTTTAATTTGTTAAATCGTAATTTTATTCGGTAGCGTCGTAGAAAAAGTGTGAAACACATTTATAAACTTCTCCAAATACGCTTTTTGAAATCCGTCTTATTAATTTTTGCAAAAGAAATACGTAAGAGACAGCTAAATGCCAATTGAGCTCCTTTCTTTGTTGAATGGTTGATGTTTATTTACTGTTATATGACGTCATTGGACAACAAGAGCGTTCTGTTTTTCGCTATATAAACACAAATTTTCATAAACAACAAATTACTAAAACAAATATCTTCGTTTTTACAGGCATTAGGCGTGGGCGTATTTGACGACGCGGTTACGCGTTTCTTCAAACGAATCGTGGTAGACACGATATCCGTTAGGGAAAAGGGGGACGTAGTGCGACCCGATATGATCCATTTGTTGATGGAAGCACGAAAGGGTAGGTTAAAGTATGACGGAGCCGATATAGGCACATCTGGATTCGCAACAGTCGACGAATCAAATCTCATGCAAAGCGCGAAACGCAAAATAGATCTTACTGATGACGTCATCACCGCTCAAGCGTAAGTGTTAATAGTAACGATGTCCAAATAAAATCGTATTAGATTATTTTGACCGACGGTTTGGAAATGTGTTCACCACCAAAGACATTAGACTACGTTAACAAAATAAGTATCTTCATACTTCATTTTTGCCACGAGTGGAGCAAGTGTTTAATTAATGACTATCAGATTAAGTTAACTTGTTCCATGCTATACTTTTTGTACGATCCTTAAGTTTTTGGTTGATCGACAGGTGATCGTGAGACACCCCAGACTATAAGATTGACATATTAAAAAGGTCATATGTTACAAAACCCAATGCGCATGCAACATCTTGTGAACGCTTTATAGGGACAATATATATTATGTGTGAAAGCCTTGTAGAAATCTTTTATGCCAAATCATAGATTTGGATTTTGATTCGGATTTGCAAATATTACAGTGGACGAGTTAATTAATTAAAAAACATCTATCGATATGCCGAGTAGGTAAGCATGGAAATCTTATCAGGGAACTCCCAAAAACCATATCCAATGTTGCTATACAGAAAATAACCCGTTTTCCACTCGCATCACGAGAGTTTCAAAATTATGTATTGCTTCATCACCTTGAAACCCTCGGAAGATATAAAACTACCCCCAATAATGAAATAGCTTGTCCTGGATATCGAAATAGACCATCGAAGAACGACTTAGGACAGCTTTGCTTTGCTCAACCACCTTGAAATGGCTGTCACAGTTTTTTTTTATTTCTATGTTTAATTTTAAGTTAATTTTCAGAAGGTTTGATTAGTTATTTTACAAAAAAAAAGTACAACCTACATGATAACCACGGCTTCTAATTCGGAAACAATCCAATTTTTTTTCTTTAAATGGGACACCCCCATCAGATTTTTTTGAGATTGCGCATTTTGGGGCATTTCATTTATATGTTCCCGACGGTTTCAAGGTGGTGGAACAAGTGGTAAAATCTAAGTGGCTCTTTAATGGTACAATTTAATATCTGGGATAACGTCAGATTTTTTTGAGATTGCAAAATAGTTATAAAATTAATTTATTTTTTTGCGTGAAGTGAGGGGAAAAGCGGTTAACCTCGGTATAGCAACATTGGATATGGTTTTTGGGTTTTCTCGGATAACATTTCCGTGCTTACTTACCCAAGATATCCCCAGGAATATGTTTTTTTTTTAATTAAGGTGAGTAGCTGTAATATTTGAATAAGCCAATCCAAATCCAAATTTAACTTAAGCCACATAAAATTGGCATTAGAATAAAAGGGGAGTTTCAAAATACTTTTATGGGATAAGTAAGCAATTTCGATTCTTGCACCATGCTTTTTTTGATTCACTTAAAAAAACGGACTATCACGAAAGCGCCGAAAGTCTACCAAAATTAAAACATAAGTTTTAGTTAAGTTAGGCAAAACACAAAAAAACACGTAAAATAAATTTGCTATAAGGCATTTTATATAGCAAATCCGGCAATACAGTAAATCGGTGTACAGGCCGCAATAGTGCTGCAAAGCAGTAATTAATGACTTATCTGAAAAAAAGCAACTACTAAAAAAACACTTTGTTTGATTATATCGTATGTCTTTCAGCCTTTTTAATGTTTAAAGTTGAAAAAAAAAACATATATATATATATATATATATATATATATATATATATATATATATATATATATATATATATATATATATATATATACAATTTTCAGGTTAATTTTCTTCATTGCCGGGTTTGAAACTTCGTCGACGTTATTGAGCTTTTTATCGTACGAACTGGCCCTTAATCCGGCCATTCAAAAGCATCTCCAAGACGAAATTGACGAAACGATGAAACTTAACGGAGGGCAAATCAAATACGACGAACTGTTAAAGATGAAGTACGTCGACCAAGTGATTTCGGAAACGCTGAGGAAGTATCCCCCCGCACTAGCGTTGAATAGGATTTGTACGAAGGTATGTCTCTTTTTTAGGATCTATGGTATCCTTCGTCGTCGATCTCTATCGCAAAAATTGACTTCAAGCAAATGACTTTCTTTGGTAGATAGAAGAAATTTACGCCCTGCTACACTGTTCCACCAGATATGTACGGTCTCAACGTATGAAAAAAAATATCGAAGTACAGGAGCAACTCAAAATACATGTCACCAAACAAGTGTTCCAAACCATGACTACGTCCAAAATACACATCCCTTAAAAAAATTGGACCTGAAACTGGTTTCTTATTAATATTTATAAAACAGGTTGAGAGCAGTTTTGAAATTTTGACAGGACGTAAAGGTTCCAAAAATTGTAATAACTTTTTTTTGGCCTTTTCTCTTATAAAATTGGAAAGTTGAATTATGCACACGTGCTTGATTTCACTTATATACACTGTTCTCTGTTTTATTTCCATTTTTAAATACATAGTCGCGATCCTATTTAATTTCAAAGTGATTGTTTCTAACTTGATTTTCAGCAACATTAATTCGCCTAAGTAACCCTTGTAGACTATCCACTTCTGTGGTATTCATAGAATTGCGCAATATTACCTCGCGGATAATAATCTAATGGGTTTAAGTCAGACGAGCGAGGTGGTCAATTTACGAGCACATCTCCGGGCGAGTATAATAATAATAATAAATATCCTTTATCAAAATACGACAAAAAGAACTTACTACCAATAGAGTTGAACAGTGATGGTGTGTTACTCCACCTAACAAGAATTAACAAGAACAAGAATTAACAAGAATTTAACAAGAAAAAAATTAACAAATATAAATGTCAGGCTCTAGGTGAACCAAAATTCACAATATGACAATTTTAAACCAATCAAAGGGGAATAAAAGTAAAAAAAATATATTTTTAAAAAAAGAAAGAAAAAGAAAAAAAATAGACACTGAAAAAAATTAACAAATTAAACGGTTCAGCCTGTCCTTAATTTTAATCTACTCTTTTAATTTATTTTTAAATGTAGAAGCAGATGAACAAGTAATAATATCCAGTGCGTTAAATGTTAAAACAGCTCTGGAAACGCAGTCGTACTATGCTTGAGAACATAGAACTGGTTACGGCGGCAAGCCGTCCTGTTATGTATATCACTAACCCTGACCAGTCTGTCAAAGAGATACCGGGGCTTTTCGTACCTTGTACTTTTATACATTAACGTAGACAGATGCACAAAATACCTTTCAGACAGATTTAAGCACTGGGAATCCTTGAGTTGCTTAGTTATATGCTGTATTTTTGTAAGCTGTAATTGGTATTTCCGTCTTAGAGCCGGCTAGTATACAATGTTATACAATGTGAGAGTCACACAATTTAAGTCTAAAATATTTTCAGTTTATCGTAGGACATCTGCAGTAAATAAGACAAGTGAGAATCAAAAAGCGGCTTACTATCAAATTCAAATGGAGCACCATTCAAGGGAAGTTTAGTTCATTATACTGGATGATTTCCTCTTTTTTATTGTCAAAAAGAACAACCTGCCTATTGGAATCATTGCATATCAGACCATGGGCTTTGGAAAATGCCACTGAAAGAGAAACCTACATCTTTGATCAAGAATGATAAGTATATTTTGCATATCATCAGCATACTGATGAGAATAATATTTATTTAGTTGCCTAGAGAAGGTAGACGTGTAAATCAAGGAGAATCTTCTTCTTCTTACTACGCCCTCTCCTTTCGAAGGTCGGCGATCCAAATGGCTATTGTGGCTCGGGAAACTGCAGCCCGGAATATTTCTATTGATGAGCGATTAAACCACCTCCTGAGGTCCTTGAGCCACGAGTTTTGACGTCTTCCTATCGATCTTTTACCTTGGACTTTGCCCTCTATTATCAGCCTCAGAAATTCATATTTTTCGCCCCTCATAACATGGCCAAGATACTGCACTTTTCTCTGTTTTATTATATTTAATAATTCGCGAGACCCGTGCATGCGATTCAAAACCTCATTATTGGTGATTTTCTGTACCCATGAGATCCGCAGTATTCTTCTATATATGTACATCTCGAACGCTTCTAGTCTCTTCTCTGTTTGAGCATCGAGTGTCCAGCTCTCGCATCCATAAAGCAAAACAGAGAAGATGAAGCATCTCACCATTCTCAATCTGAGCTCAAGACTTATGTCAGATCTTATGAAGAATACCCTCATGCTCATAAATGTTCTTCTCGCCTGCTCGATTCTCGACAATATTTCCTTCTTCGGATTACATTGGCTATTGATATTGGCTCCCAGGTATTTGATTGAGTCGACTTGTTCAACTGGCTTCCCATTAACATTTAGATGTACATGAGTAACCGTTTTTGAGAACGCTAGTGTTTTGGTTTTGGCGACATTTAATTGCAATCCGAAAAAGTGGCTATAATGGACTATGCGATCTATCATGATTTGTAGCTCGGACGGACTGCTTGCCATGACAACAGTGTCGTCCGCGTACCTGATATTGGTTATGCTGATGCCATTGATCTTTATTCCTCCGTTAATTCCATCCATTGCCTCTCTGAATATAGCCTCCGAGTAGAGGTTAAACAATAGTGGGGACAGCACACAACCCTGGCGAACTCCCCTCTTGATCAGTATCTCATCTGATATGTTTTGCTCGATGTTGACCACTGCTGTTTGCCTCCAGTAAAGTTCTGAAATAATACGTAAGTCCTGCTCATCGATACCGGTTGCTGTTAGTATTTCGATCATCTTTTGATGGTTGACGCAATCGAATGCTTTGCGGTAGTCGATAAAACATGCATATACGCTTACATTCATGTCCCTGCATCTTTGTGTTAACACTTTCAGAGAGAAGAGTGCTTCGCGTGTACCTAGTCCGTTTCGGAATCCAAACTGAGTTTCGCCTATTTGCAGTTCGCATTTCCTGTATATTCTTGTGTGGACAATTCTAAAAAATATTTTGAGCACGTGGGACATGAGGCTAATCATTCTATAATCGTCACAATTAGAGGCATTGACTTTTTTGGGCAGCGTTATAAAAGTTGACTTTAGCCAATCGGCTGGTATCTTGCCCGAACTATAGATCTTGTTAAACAGTGATGTTATCAAATCCAAGCTTTTGCCTTCATTATCTGCTATTAGTTTAAGTGTTTCTGCATGAATTTTGTCTGGCCCAGTAGCTTTTCTATTTTTTTGTGATCTGATGGCGTGCATGACCTCATATTTGGATATTACTGGACCTTTTTCGTTTAGTTCGCTGTTATATGAGGGTGGGGTGTGTGTTCTTTCGTCGTTGTATAGCTGTTCGATGTACTCATGCCATCTTTTCAGTTTAGCATCTATTCCCGTAATTATTTCATTGTGTTTGTCCCTAAGTATTGATGCATGGTGTCGCCTGTGTTTGCCTGTCATCTCTTTTATTCTTTTATGCAGATTAAAGCTGTCATGTTTTGATTGTAGCTCCTCTATTTCTTGGCATTTTGCTATCAACCATTGTTCCTTTGCCTCTCTGCATTTCTTTCTAATAGTTCTATTTAGTTGTTTGTATTCTGTCGGCTTTGTTTTAAGTTTCCTTCTCTCATTCATTAGGTCCATAATTTCCTGTGTCATCCACTCTTTCTTCCTGTCGTTCTTTATGTAGCCGATGTCCTGTTCCTCTATGTTGGTTATTTTGTTTTTAAATATGTTCCATGTCGTCTCTATTTCCCTTTCTGGTGCCAAACTGACTGCTGCTTCTATTTCTCTTTCTATTTTCAAACTTATTTCTTGTTTCTTTTTGGTGTTATTCAGTTGTGCAAAGTCTATTTGTTTTGTGGTCTTTTCCCTTTTGGTATTCATAAATCGTTTGAGTTTGAAGTCTATCACCACAGGATTGTGATCACTATTAATGTCTGCGCCAGGGTATGTTTTCACTGCTTTTATGTATTTTTTGAATTCCTGTCCTATGAGAATAAAATCAATCTGGTTTCTGATAATCGTCCCCTCTCTGTCTGCAGGTGATCTCCAGGTATATAGTCTTCTGGGGTGAAGCTTAAAAAAGGTGTTAGTTATGATTAGGTTGTTTTCTACACAGAACTGTATCAGTCTGTCGCCTCTTTCATTGCGCGTTCCAAGACCGTAATTCCCTACACTATCTCCATCAGAACCACGGCCTACCTTGGCATTGAAGTCACCAATAACCATACTTATTTCACCCTTCCTTGTCAGTCGCATGGCTTCATCAACTTGGGAGTAGAATTCTTCGATTTCTTGGTCTGATTTGTCCTGTGTTGGAGCGTAGATCTGGATTATGTTTAAATTTCTGTGGGTTGTTTGTAGTTTTAGCATCATGACCCTATCACTTAGGGGAATGAACTCTGTCACTGACTTTGCTATTCTCTCTGAGACAAGTATTGCCGTTCCATATCTATGGTCCGGATCAGTGCCTCCTGAATAGTACATGGTCCCTCTTTTAGTTTTTTGTTTTCCAGAGTTAGGCCATCTGACTTCACTCATTCCCATGATGTCTATGTTCAATCTGTTCATCTCGCATTCAACGTTTGTAAGTTTTCCTGCCATAAATAAGCTGCGTGTATTCCATGTGGCAATGCGGACGATTTTACCGTAGATTTTGAATTTTTCGCTGTCTCTATCTGCATATTTCTCACTAGTGGAAGACGGGGGTATTCTTCGCACCCTCTCCCCACTTAAGGGGTGCCCCGGACTGAGGGCCATTTTTGTGTTTTCTTCAGCCATTGAGATTTTTTGGAAAGTATAATACAGTAAGAGTTCCGTTTCTTTTCTGTATCGCAGTACCACAACTATTAAAACTGCTACAGTCATACTTGTAGTGATCCAGTAATGAGCCGGTCCAGAGTCATTTTCTTTGCGCCCCATCCTGGTACTGGTGGTCGCTGCTGCCCTCCACCAGGGATATTTATTGACCTCCCAGTCTAGATCCGTACTGTTCTGCGTTAACAGGATCACCTCGAGTAGGATGTGGCTCTGCACCACGCAGTACGGTCCTGGCTGAGGAGAGGCTATGTGTGCTTTTAGGCACGGACGCGTCACCCAGCCCTGGTTGTCATGAGGACCAGTGCCCAGTCATCCCGAAGCAAAGGTGCTACCTCTCTAACAAACCTTGAACCTTGAATAATATTTATTTAGTTGCCTAGAGAAGGTAGACGTGTAAATCAAGGAGAATAAAGGTCATAAAATCAAAATTGAGGAACACCACATATCCCAACGGCGACCTCCCAAGTAACTTTTCATAAAAGTAATCGCAGTGTATGCATGGTAATATTCTATAACAATTCCACAATATCATTTGTAAGGAAATTGGAGTAATCATTAGCTAGTAATAATTTAATCGATTTGGCAAAACAAAATGACCTTTTAGCGTATTACCGATGATACCTGTCTGAACATTGTTGAAAACCAATGTTGACGTTGTGAGTGTTAAAAGTTTTCTCTTGAAATTGTTGCCTCGTCAGACCATAGTTTTTTTTCCAAAATATCGTGATGGGTGATTCCGACCAGGAATTTTAATGCTATTTGAGCATTTTCCTTCATTCCGTTTAGCACCCTTTCACAATCATAATTTCCCATATGCTTTCCTAAAATTAATATCTGTTATTTATGACCCCCAATTTTTACAAACTTATTTTAAGTTAATATATCTTATCTTTAACCAGGGGGATAAACTAGCATCTTATTAGTACCGATATTTATCCTCTTATTTGTTGAAAATTATTTCGTCTAAATTATTAAAAGCTTTTATTATTATGTATCCCAAACAATTCCAGACGATTTGTGCTTTTATTGCGCATTAAATATCGAGAACAAACTCGCAGGTTCGCCGAACCATTGAGGACGTGTTTATTCAACCGTGTTATTCATATAAATATAATAGATCCGGCGAATATAATTTGACGTTAATGCTTTTAATAAAGAAAAAATTATTGTAAGAAATTAATGTAGGAAAAATTCATTTTTTCGGCTTATCCAAATTTTACTAATTCCGTTTTTTATAGTTTATTTTAGAAACGCTTAGAGTAATAATTTAAGATTTTAATTATTTTTGATGTCTGCTATAAATGCGATGCTAACAAATAGGCTGTCGTGTTATTTTTGACGGCTTATATAATGGCCTCCATTACTGACAAAGTAAAGAGAAATGAATGACACTTTAAGTGTTGAGAGCAAAAACCTAAAATCATGGAAACGCTAGTATATGGTGCTGGAAAGCTACTTTAAACGGTTCATATATTCATTTTTTAACGATGCGGCTAGTTCCGATCATGGCGCCAAATTTGAACCGAATAGGTTACTCGAGACGTACACACTAGTAGAAGTCTACCGTCGAAAAATGTAACCTTCATTTTAAA